TTCATGTTGTATTTAGTCGGAGTATGCCGGAGTATGCCGGAGTGGTGCATCGGATCATGTTTCATTGGAGTTGTGTGCATGTTGTAGAGATTTTGGTTATTTAGATCTTACTTGGCCACCCCTCTCCCATGCCTCCGTTCTGCTAGGCGCGCGCGGTGGATCCACTTGCAGACCCTCAAGAGAAACACGATCTTCCAGCTGCACATGATGCCACTGCCACTTGCCTGAAAGTATAGGGTGCAGTGGTCATATGGGCCTTGCATTTTGTAGAGGATATTGCAAACCACTGGTTGGAACCATTTAATCTTTAGGAGTCTTTGAGGCACTGGTTCATCCATGTTCATCACTTCTTTCGCTGGACACCTGTAAGACCTCAGCTTGCTCAAGGTTCTTTTGTGAGAGGCCCCACTGATCCCCGCATTTGGATTTCATGTCTTCTACTATGGCTTCTTTGGCGGATCGTCTGGCCACATTGCAGCAGCTAGGAGGGCGAACACAGAAAAAGGCGGAGGTAGACTTTTCTGTCTTTGAGAACATGTCTCTTGAGGAGCTTGAACAGCAGGAAGTGAGCTTTGGGAAAACTCACGTCGGCAAAAGCTTCAAACAAGTGTGGGATCACGAGCAGCGGTGGATCCTCACCTTCAGCAAGACTTGGGGTGACAGTCAGAAATTGGAGCACAGGATCTTCTTGCTGTTTGTGCAGCGTATGGTGGAACAGTGCGAGTCGGAGGCTTTGGCAACAGGAAGTGTGGATTCAAGCCCATGGGTGCTGACGAGTGAGAATGCAGCCATTCCAGAGCTGGAAGAACGCATTGAGAAGTTGGAGAAAGAGGTTGCTGCCTTGCGCCAATGCCTGGCCAGTAATCGACGCCCATGAACGCAACGGAGGTCGTCATGCTGGATCACATCTAAGGATTGCGTGAGTATAGTTGAGCAGTCCACCTGCAGCACAGCCTGCTATTATATAACTGAAATCGGCGAGGAAAACGCATGACCGTTGTCAGCTGCTTTGGGAGTGTTTTGGGGATGGTCAATTTGTAGAGAACAAGTTTGGAAGCTATTCATTTTTTAGTGAGAACCCTTGATGTTTTCAGCAAGGCGTTGCTTGTCAGAAATCCCCTGCCCATCCCTCCAACATCCTTCAACCATCTTCAACCAAATCCCTCAACATGGTTTGGCGGCTCCTAGGCGGAA